CTGCCCTTTGGTTTCCCAAATACACATTTGAGAGTCTTGACGCTACTTAGGAGATCCTCTTCCTTAATCAGGATCCCCAGGTGCTCAGTAGCATGGCGGTTGGCTTGCAAAATGTCTTGTGGTGAGCTGCAACGTCAAGTGTGTCTGCACAGACTGCTGCGTACTCACAGTTAGGAGCCCTGCAGAGCAGGGGAACTGCTCTGTCTGTAATAGCCTGCTAATGTTTTAAAAGTGGTGATTGCCACCCAAAAAGGAATGCATCACTGGATGGCACCTGGGGAGCTGTGGGGTTTGAGGAGCTCGAGTTCATTCGCCAAATCTGAGTGCCTTCCAGCTTCGCAGCGTGCCATTAATACGTGGTGCCTCGTGCTGGCGCAAAGCAGTGCCTTTTGCAGGGTGCACTCTTCGAGCAGTGGAAAGATGTAATTCTATTAGCTTAATCGTTTTCGTTTCTTTTTTTTAAGTTTTTTAAAGTTGTTTTAAAAAAGACGTGTGGAATGGACTGTCAGGAGCCAAAGCTTGCAAAGATCTACTCAGGGACTTCACTGTGAGCTTTTGTGTATGAAACGTGTGTAAGCTTGGCACGATGATCTTATTCTGGAACCCCTAAGGTCATTGTATTTTGAATATGACTATATTGTATTCCATAGTATCCATAACATACTGAACAGCAAAAGAAATAATGTTTTAAAATCTCTGGTTGTATTTCTAAAAAGCAGAATATTTTCATGAAGACTTGCAAGAGCTTTACTGAAATTCCATCAACGTTCAAGGTTATTACAATTTTGTGAAATATCTAAGTGAATGAATATGAACCTTAATCTAGTAAAAAGTCTATTTGCATACCAATATTGAGTTGAGACTATTCACAAATATATTTATTAGTAATAAGTTTAGTAGTACATATAGTTACTCTTTATTGCTTTCAAAATCTGCTGAGCTGTAATGCTCCCAGCCCTTTTACAATCAATAGCGTCTTTATTCCTACCAACTGACCTATGCGTGTATTTGCACTAATGGGATTAAAAAACCCTGTTTGCATTTCAGCTATTTCAAAACATACGCATATTTAAATGTTAGCGTGTGCATGGGACTGGAGATGTAAATCCCAGCGCATTCTTACGCTCGCACCGTTAACACGGATGGGCGAGTCAGTGTAAGTGTGTACTCCAGCTGTCGTGTGGGTACGGCGCTGTGTGGGTACAAATGGAGGCTGCAGAAGGAGCAGGTAAAAATCCAGCCCATCAGACATATGCGCTACTTTCTGGCCTTAATTATATATACTTATATAGCCATTCTTTTCTTTGTTTTGCTTTAAACCCAAGGTTGACGATCTAGAGACCAAGCTAGCCAAAAGAAAAGGAGGACTCCCGCTCCAGGAGTATCGTCTCACGGCCTTCACGGGGGAGCTTCCACCTGGCTCACCAAGAAAGCAAGCTCAAAAGATCTTTTCCAGTAGGAAATTCTGACTGCCTGGAATTGTTAAAGTGTGAAATGTTTGCTTCATAAGAATGAGAATTACAAAAGCCTGTTCTTCTCACTTAGTCTTCCCGGCTGCATTTGACAACGTTAAATCTATAACGATAATCCATCTGCTTTAACTGACTGTACAATTTGTCTCTTTTAGAAGATTCGTGGTACAGGGTTGTAAAGGGTTTTCTTCAGCCTCTCTGCACGTTTTTCTCAAGCGCGCTTCTATAGGCTTACAAAAATCCTATGAAAATAAAATTCAAAATTTGTCCCTAAGGTTTGGAGCAGCCATTTGTAATTTTACTAATATGAGGAACTGTGTACTCCTAGTTAACTAACTGTGTGAATAACACATCTCTGGCCTTGCACTGTATGTCCTGCTCATATCAGACCAGCCTGGGGTTTCATCACAAATGCTGTGTTTAATGTTAAATCATAACGTTAGATTTAAAGCTACTCTTCAAATGTAGAATAACCTTATTTGCATTTTACTGTCACGAAGGCTGCGTCCTCCTCCTGGACAAGAGGCCGCAGGCAGGAGCACGTCTCGGGGTGGCTGTTCTTTGGTCTGGAGCCCTGCTGATGTCGGGGAGCAGCAGAGCTGCCCCTTCCACACCTGGGAGCCTTTGGTGGGGCCCCGCCGCAGCCGGCTGCAGCGAGAGCGGGGGATCAGAGAGCAGAGGCGAACAAGGTGCGGGAACAACTGAGCCTGAATCCCAGCAGCGTCGCTCCTTTGAGACACGTGGAACTATGCAGCACTAAGACTGGAGTTACCAGGACGGGGTATCGGGAGCTTTTACCGTCTGCTCCCCCAGAACACCAGCAATGCTTTAGAGAGGGCTTTCATACAGAAATGTGTTACAGGAGCTGAACCAGTGCCAGTGATCTGCCAGTACCTCGGGAGCCCCGGGAAGGGGGTCATGGTACTGGATTTAACAAATAGCAGAGTTCTTCCTCCCTCCCGTGCTTTCTGTGGCCTCCCTCTGTCCCCGCTGTCTCTCTCCTCCCCTGCCGTGGTCCCATCGTTTGTCCTCCTGGGACAGCAGAGGTACCTCAGGTGGGCCTCGCCTCCACTTGCTGCTAGGTCTACGTGCCTTAAAATGCTGGAAATTTTAGTCACGGGAATAAACAGTAATGCCACCGAACCTCTCTGTGGGGACAAAAGTGGCAGCATTTGGCAGGGAGAGGTGAATACGCAAAAGGTGGAAGTTTTTCTTAAGGGAAAAACATGGCGCAAGCCCACCCGATCCTGCACAGCAGAGGTTCTGTAACGGTGACGCTGCGTTGGAGCTGGCGGGGCGGGCAGTGCTGCCATCGGACCTGTCCCAGCGCCTCCCGCGCTCCGTGCCCACCCGCTGGCTCGGCCACCCGGGATCACGCCTCTTGGAGCCGCCTCATCCCACGCAGGCTATCACCGAGGCTCGCTTGGCCAGTTCTGCTGCCACACAGATGGAAAGCTCCGAGCAGCTCCTTCGGGTTTGGTGCACCTTTTTGGAATGGATGCTATTCAGAGTGACGTTAATTTGATCAACTTTTGACAAGGTTTCCTTTGAATGTCCGTAAGACGTCTGTTTATGCAGTCTGGCCACTGTTTCTGTACTGGTTATTGTGTATTGATTCATTCTGTGTATTCCAAAATGCTCTGCATCTGGCCCAAGTTACGTTCAGGGTCACTGGATTTAGTGAACGTGCGTGACAGTCAAAACTGCCTTCGTGATTTCTGAACGGTTTTGGAGGTGGACTTTCTGTCAAAGCCTATCGCCGTGTTTTGGAGGATGCTTCAAAAAATCCTTTTCCTTCTGAAAATTAGTACAGATTTCTCCGTCCTTGCTGACATCAGAACTTTCCTCGATGCTTGTGTGTTGCTCTCAACGTATTTTCAAGGTTTTGCAGAAAGTCAAGGCTGCCTCAGAACTACAGCTCGTCCTGTTCTCTAGGTACTGCAATTGCAGCATTAAAAAGTTTCCATAATAAACAATACCAGACACTAATTCAGTTGAGGGTTTTTGGTTTTATTTTGCTGTTTCAATTGACAGAGAAAATAGGGCATAGTACTATTCATGTGAGTAAACATTTATCAGCCCTTTTGAGCAAGTCTCTGCTGGAAACCTACATTAACTTCCCCAGTTCAGGTCTGGGCCTCGGTCCTTTGTGTGCAATGGGAATTCAGCTTCATTAATTCCATATGAATCCAGCGTACTTGGGTCTGTTCACCAACTCGGATAAAAATGTGATCCTTCCACAAAAGATGAGTAAAAATATACATGTCATTTGTAAAGGATGGCTATAAAAGTAAGCTAGTGGATGTGACTTATAAAATCAGAATGTCAAAGAAACCCGGCAATGAGCGTGCCAGTTCTCTGAAGGAACGGCCCTGAACGCAGAGCTGGGCAGGCGTGGGTTCACGTGCACGCGAAATGGAGGAAGGGCGAGGGTTTAGAACGCGTCTCGTTCCTGCTGCTGGCTCATCGGGTCTGTAGTTACCAGTGAAAGCATTCATTTCCGTACGGCAATCCTTTTGGCCTATGCATAAACCCTAAGGAAACCCTGAAGAAAGTACTACTAGCGGTTGTTACAGAACTACATTGTTGAAGTAATTAGCAAATGAAAGGTTAAAAAAAGGATTTTCTCTACTTTTTTTTCTGAGAAGTCACATTTAAGAAGGACTTGACTTTTGTTTTTCACGGTTTTGACCTTTGTGTCTCCGAGTCCTAAGCAGAAATCAGCCGTTAGGCTGGCCTGGTGGATCCCAGGGGACCGGTTGCATTTGTAGGTTTGTGGCCATTCCTAAAGCATCCTTCTCGCTTTCTGTGTGCGGTGTCGCTGAACACACTTCCAAATGTATCCGAGAGAGCTTCGTCTTGCCTATGTCTGGAACAACAGATTAATGAGAGGCAGTCGCTGAACAGAGTATTTCAATTAATTTTTTGTACAAATACGATAATTGATTTCCATGCTGGTTTTATTGGTACTTGCTCATGGAAAATTGGGAACGGACACTTCCACTCCAGCAGGAGGGCTGAAATTAATTCATCCTCGTTTGTTCCATTTTTCCAGACCTCTGAGAGAGGAAAAGAGGGAGGATCACCAACCACAAAACCGAATTGCGTTACCCTTGTGTTCTGGCATGCTTCACAGGCAGGGCACGGGTCTGGCGGAGGCAGGGCCCAGCACGGGTGCAGTTTGACTGTACCAATAACCCCCTTGGCTCTTGATTCAGTTCCACAAATAATGCTAATTTGTGCAGATATCAGTAAGTATCAAGTCAGATTACATTTATATCTGCAACTGAACATCACTTGGAGAGCGTAGGTGAATCGGCTGCTCCTGGGTGTTAAGGCTCAGAGCTTGGAGCTCTTCCAAACCAGTCTCAGTTCTGGGGCTCACGGTCACTTTTTTATGGTTTTCAGGTGCTATGGGGGCTTTCACCAGTTAAAATCTCAGGGTGCCTGGGCAGAAGACAAGGTTTAAAGCGTTACAATTTCCAAGCTTTCCCAGTTAGGAGCTACCCTGCCCTCCTGTGTGCGTACCACTGGTGGTGGCTGCCTGCGGTGACGGGGTGACCTGCAGCCAGCTGCTGGCAGCAGGCCCGCGGCAGGCCCACGGCATGGCAGTAACCCCCTGGCAGTGGAAAGGCCCGGCTGCGGTCACTCTGTTGGAGCCCACGAACAGCGGCAGAGGCCGGGCACTGGCTGCGTGGTCCAGGGGCTGCAGGCTGGCAGCGGGGCGAGCGCCGGGGCTGTGCCTGGGTCAGCGTCGTGGCTGGCTCTGCGTGGGTTTGCTGCGCCGCAGCCGCACCGGTGAGCGGTCCTGGCACCGCGCGCTCTGCCGGGAGCAACGCGGGCATACCCAGGCGGGTTGTCAGGGAACGGCCCGGGTCTCCCCCGTTAGCCCAGGGCCAGCCCAGCTGAGTTCAGGCTGCTGCGTGCAGCCCCCGCCCCGGCAGGCGTTTCTCCCCCGCTGTCAGCAAGGGGATCCCAGCACCCCAGTGCCCAGCACCCACGCCTGCGGCCGCGCCAACTTGGGCTCTGGCCTTTCCAAACACGACGTGGGCCTGGGAGCAGTGCGGCAGGGCTGGCTCAGCACTGCGCCTGCACCGGCACACCCAGACCTGCGTCCCCGGCCTGGAGCATCTACACCCCAGACAAATGGACCCCGGACAGTGAGCCTCCCGGTACTGCACCTCCCGCAGGAGCCTCACTTCTTCTGGATTCCTTGGTCCAGGTTTCTTTGCGTCTTCTCCATACTGTGAACGGCTCAAGCTTTCATTTAACGCTCACTCTCCAAAGTCCACATGGGAAACCAGGCGTTTTAGTTTGAAAGAAACCAGTTTCTGTGATGCTACCGTCAGGCAGGTTGGCTAGGTGTCTCTGTGCTAGGAAGGGATGATATTATCCCCATTTGGCAAATGGTTAACTGAGGCAGAGAGGGGGTTAAGCCCAAACTAATGAAATTGTTTATTCTCAGGGATGTCACACCAATGCAACCAAGACCAATGTCCTTGAAGCAAACACCTAGAAAGAAAAAAATTCAGCACCGACCATTACGTTTGGCAAAGTTAACATTGCAAAGTGTTGAGTGACCCTGAGTTAGCAGAAGTGTTTTCTCAACTCCCTCATATTTCAAAGGCAATGAAAATGGTATTTCACTGCTTGACTTCTGAATATTTATCAGAGGATGTGCAAGCTCGTTGCAGGGTCATTGCAGTGAATAAGCAGCAGAAAACCTACCCAGAAAAAAAAGTGGAATGAATTTAATTGCTTCATGTGAAGTGACAGAAGTAAACATCGGAGACAGGTAAAGGAAATAAGATTTAAATTGCTATTTAACCTTAAAATCTGAAGTATGTTTTAGTAACTTGGGAGAAGTGGTATTACAGATGTTATCTGACTCTGCTGAAGTCACCTGAAGTTTTCTCGCTGATTTTAAGTGGCCCAAATTTCTCTCCGTGTTTCCATATTCCACAGAACAATGGGAGTGTCCTAGAGCCATCGTCACGTTTCTGATGTGTGCAAGCCAGCTGGGGAAAAATACCGTGGGTTGGCAGAGGAGATCACCAAAGAGTATTTCGTATGTCACTGCCGTACTCGTGCTACACGCATTTCTTGCCTTGGACTACTGGCACAGCTGGCACGGAGGCCAGGACGGTATTTCCAGTTTCTGAGGTCCATTTGTTGCTGATGAAACTCCGGGCAGATAGCGACAGATGAACAGCTCTGAGCCATCTCCGAGGTGAGAGCGTGGAGGGGGCTTACAGCAGTCGTTGCCTCCACATCATTTGCATCCAAAATGGACCGTGGCTGAGTCGGACCTGAGGGTTTTGGCGCCTGTCCATACCATGGTATGTCTCGGAAAGTAAAAAGGAGGTTTCAGGTGTACCTGGCGTTAGAAGGCGCTTGGCAGAGGAGGCCCTGCTGGTGCTCTGGTACCACTGGATTAGTGCTCGTATAAATTGATAGAATCATAGAATCGTTAAGGTTGGAAAAGACCCTTAAGATCATCGAGTCCAACCGTTA